ATACTTCACTTTTCCTCAATCATGCTCACCAACCCATGACTTTCTTTCTTCGGCAAATTTTCTGGACATCTCATGTTTTAACCCTTTTCGGAAAACACACGGGTATCCTTAAGAAAGGAAAATTCTATAACTTCGGAAATAATGAAGTTAGAAGACTATAAGAACTGGCGCATTGTCAGAGGCTAAAACCATTTTTAGCCCTGCTAAAGGGCACCTCCTTTTAGGGTTTTAGCCTCTGACAATGCTAAAGGTGCCCTTAAGCAGGGCTAAAAATGGTTTTAGTTTGGTTGGTTTTATTGGATGGTTTTTTTAAAATAAAAAAGTTCATAACTTTTGAAAGAAGCTATAAGAGCACAAATCCTTTTAGGATATTTACTAGGACACTATATAGTATCTATCGGCAAAGGATCATTGCCGATATATGGGTCGGATCGGAGGCGGGCACCTGAAGAGGTTCCCTCGTAACTGCTTCATTGTTTATTTCTTATACATCTTTAGTTCCTCATTTCTTATTTAAATTTAATTTCTCATTTCTCATTCCCTTCTTATTTATTTCATTCCCTTCTTATTCACTCTTTATGGACAATTGTGAATAAGAAATGCGGAAGGAAGCATTTGTCCTTAAAGAGTGAACATGAAATGTGAATGAAAAATGAGAAATTAAATGTGCATAAGCAATGAGGAATTAAATGTGTATAAGAAAGGAACAATGAAGCACTTAGTCTAACACACAGATTATTGAGAAAATGGAAAATGGATTAAATATTGCCTTGCGAATCGTATTGATTGACAGGTATCCCAGTCAGAAAAAGAGACTTAAGAGCGAAGGTAAGCGTAAATGAGTGATAAATTTGAACAAATACCTCTCCCCATCCCAAAACGCCTCGCAGCTGTTTCAGCCATAAGCTAAGTTAGTTTATTCCATAGAGGAGAGGAAAATAGTGCAATATCAATTTACAAACCCTAGTGAACGTTCTTCGATCAAAATCTTGTCATAAAAATTTGTGGCAGGATTGGCTTTGAGAGCAACAAGGCGCTATCACTCGTTTTAATCTGACTGTATAATATTAGCTCACGTCGCCTGAAAGTGATGATGAGCAAACTAACTGAATGCTTTTGCTATCATTTTTTTAGTATCTTATCAACTGTTATCCGATCAAATATGTTCACACAGCTTGTAAATATTATTCTGGATTCGACTATCCTTGTGTGTACTGCAGTTGCAGTATTTGTATCGCTTTTGATGATCTCAACCATGTTGCTTTGCCAATTCCCAAGAGGAGCAGCTCGAACCACTCACTTGGTGATTGGCAACATGTATATGAGTCTTTTTTACTGGCTGTTCCATCATGTTAGACATCTACGCTTGCACTCTTTATGGACATCTGCATCCAAATAGCTCGTTCGACAGACAATGGTGTCACATAAAGGCCTATCTCCTTTATGTGAGCGGATGTGGCTTTTTTTAGTCTTACTTGCTTCAAGCCGTTTATCGGCTTAGCCGAATCATCTTGCACACGCGACCAACATTGCAATCATCGGTCTAGAAACGATTCTTTTGAAAAATTTGGCGTTTAGTTATTTATGTTCTCGATTTTCCCGTCTTTTATGTCAATAATTTTATCTACATTCCTTACATCTTAAATATATATAAATATATACAAATAGCATAAAAGGCAACAACGTTTAGTTCCTTCTCTATTTAACGACAAATCGACTTTACTCAAGTTCTTCTCCTTATCTTTTGACCATCCATGAAGGTGGGGGTGCAAATAGGGGTAAAATATATAACCTTGAGATTTTTAATGGCTGAGAGTTTGTTTTCTTAATGCAACATACATTGCCCTATTTCCGTTGGCAGTAGACTAAATAAAAGCACGTTAGACGCGATGTTTTAATGCAAGCAAAATTTTACTCAGGAGTTTTGCCGGAAACGTGTGTTATAACTTTTTGCTTGCCGGTTTGCGTCGTATGTTTAGTTTTTGCGAAGATATTTCTTTTATTTTATCATATGCATTGCAAAAAAAAAGAAAGAAAGAAAGAGGAAAAAAACAAAAACTAATTCAATGTAACTCTTTTTCTTCTTTCTTTCTCTTTTTTACCTGGGCTCATAGAATAAAAACGTGGCAAGAAATACAACAACGTGGCAAGAAATATTAAAACGTGGCAAGAAATATTAAAACGTGGCAAGAAATATAAAAACGATTCTTTTGAAAAATTTGGCGTTTAGTTATTTATATTCTCCATTTTCTCGTCTTTTATGTCAATAATTTTATCTACATTCCTTACATCTTAAATATATATAAATATATACAAATAGCATAAAAGGCAATAACGTTTAGTTCCTTCTCTATCATTAATGACAAATCGACTTCACTCAAGTTCTTCTCCTTATCTTTTAACCATCCATGGAGGTGGAGGTGCTGGCAAAACCACTTGCTTAGAGAAGATTCGTCAATATAATACGAATAAACAAAGAATAAGACATACCGTCTTCATAGAAACTGGATCTGGCCTTATTACGGCTGGTTCGATCATTGATCCTGGTCGGTCCGCTCTTTCCCGTTTTTTATTCCCTTGTATCACTGTGAAAGCTCCTGTTCGAAAATGGTTGCAATGGGTTCAATGGTTTCTCATCATTCTTTTCATCATCATTACTTGGTTAACGAAACAAATTCATTTAGCATCTTGTATCTTATTATCTCTTTTGTTCCTATCATTCTTTTTACCTTATTGTCAACGTTTGTTTCGTTCGAATGCTGTGTCGGCCGTATGGAATTATAATAAACTCCGATATCAACGCGTTAAAGAATTAATGCAGAATCTACAACAACAGGAAGAACCATTGGAACAAGTTCAAGAATGGATCTGGTTAGATCGAAACTGTATTGATGCTTATAGTTATTGTCAGTTAGAAGATGAAGTTTTAGTTGGTTCAGATTTTCTCCCTACTTTATCTGATCAAACCGAACATCTTAGTTGTGGTATATGGATGGATACTTCACTTTTCCTCATTCATGCTCACCATCAACAACGTGCTAAAAATCTTCCTCTATTCGGCCGTTTAATTTCAAAGCTCATGGTCGCATTTCCTTCTATTTATATGCCCACAATTCACGCTTGTCATACAGTCAAACAATGGTATCAACAAAATGGAGTTCCGTTCTTAGTGATTAGTGAATGGAAGGAAGAACACAAGACTGAAATTACTGAGATGAATAGTGGAGGAGAAATGACATGGAACGATCACAATTTATCATTGTTGTTTTCTTCTGTAGAACGATTGATATTAGATGCACGTGCTAAGAGAAATAACAGTCAAGAATCGTTCAATTTGATTCTCACTCCTTGGTTGAAATCTATCATTCGTTAAGCAAACACCGCTTGTTTGTGATATCCTCACCATCAACAATTTATTATTTATATTCATATCTATATTCTTGTTTTAGTCATTTGTTTATGCTGTGGTGTGTATTTTTCTCAATTATTCAGGTTTAAAGAATTACGCTGAATTCGAGGAAGCTCCTCTCACTTTTTACAGATCCAAAAGCCGGCAGGATCTCACTATGCTATTATCCTTTTCAAATTAAGATGCCGGTGTCTACTTTTAGAATAACTTTTGACAGAAATCAGCGAGGAAGCTTGGGGTTTCGATATCAAAAGGTTTTTTTCTTACATGTTGTTTTTGGGTGGGACCATCCCGATTCCGGGGTCAAAACTTGTTTTAGCAGGACCATGACCAAGCCCGAATTGTCCCGCCTCTATCTAGGCATGAATCTAACATCGATATGAGGAGGGCGGCCGTTTTCGGTCTCCGTTCTGGTTCCGGTCCTTTCTGAAAAAACACCGGGGAGGGGAACCGAGACCGTCTCACCCATGTCTAATAATGACAAATAACAAATTAACAGTTATTACCAATTTTTGTTTTACTAACAACTTTTAATTAACTATGGCTTCATCACGTGGTTTTTTTATGCGGGAAAGTCAAGATTCCTGCGGATCAAAAGGAATTGTCAGAATATCGCTTTGCACGCAGAATTCTCGCACAAATTCTTCCATCGAGTGACCAGGGATACGAATCTCCTGATATGACTAGATGTCTGTACTTTTAGAATTTCCTCCTGGTAAAAATTTTGCTGATATTGAGAACTGATTTTAAAGAATTTTTTGCTGTTTTCTCCTTTTCAACATGTCTTGCGTTTATTTCCAGAAGATAGCAGCTATCCATTTAAATAAACCATGAACCAAATTTCGCACAAATGAAGCATTTTCCAGCAAAAGGCTAAATATAAAAGTTGTTCAGAATCAAATCCTCTGGATTATGAGCGAAAAAGTTTTTGAAATCCTTTAAACTCGATTTCTAAATTTTAATTTAAGCAATTTTCCGTTTTTCTAAACCGTGTTTTCGTATTTATAAATCGAGTTTAAAGAATTTCAAAAACGCCTTCATTCATATTTTAGAGAATGTGATTCTCAACTACTTCTGTATTCAGATTTTTGCTACAAAATGCTTACTTCGCGCGAAACTTGGTTCAACACCTGGCTTGAAATACGAGCCCAGCCCAAAATTAAGCTAAATTTTCAACTATTAAGTTTATCCTTCAAACTTTTCCAGTTTCTAGAGCAAATCTCGAAAGGTGTATCCTGATGTTTCGGCTTACGATCACTAACTAACTGAGAAAACATTTACTTACTCTCAACATTTAGAGAAAAAATGTATTTTTAAAAGGATCATATGTTGATGTAAAAAAATGCAAAGTAGCCTATGTCGTAGGCAATGAAATTTTTACTACCAGAAGAGGTTTAGCTCAATCTGTTAAAGTAATTCCAGTCACTCCATATTCAACAAAGCTGTGTAAAAAAAAAGTAGTCAGTTGGCGATTAACTCGATACACAGGTAGATAACTGTAAATAGGATCTTTTAATCGGTTTTATTGTCATCGACGATTAGAGGTTTACTTGGATGATCATTAACTTACATTTATAGTCGATTACTAGTTTTTCGAGACGAAGCAGCATTTTGCTCATTTCAATTAGTGCTCAAAATTTTATTAGTATTTTCTTCGTTCAATATTGTTTTGAAATAAACCTTAACAGTTTTCCCGAATATTTATACTCTGTTAGTTGATTAAGATTTACAAGAACTTGGGAAAAATTTACGGGAACTAATTAATATTAATCGACAAACAAATTTGGTTGCTAACTGTATTCCTTGTCGTAAAGGTCACAGTATACATGACTACCGCAATCAGAGCTTGACTCTAACATAGTTGCTGGTTCTTCTAAAAATCTCACAAATCGGCCTGTTTTTCTGATCCAAGTGATCTTGCTAAGTCAAATATTATTGACTTAGCAAATAGTGTAGAGTAAGCACTTCCATTCTTTGGGATATATTTTTGCCGAAAAAATATCTCGCAGAATCCTGAACGGAAACTTTAATAGAAAAATAGATTTTCGGCAGAAAAACATTCTGTGTAATTTGGAAAAAACGTTCGCCGTGAATTAATGATTCCCATCGAAAAATTGAACCATTCCCATACACGTCTCAGAATCCGATTTTGAAATCACTTGAGAGGTGAAAATTTCATTTCAAAACGACACGTTTTTATGCTTCATGACATGTTAGAAATAGTTTATGTAACGAAATATGACCTCTCACCGCACTGGCCATTCACTGTCATCGCTGTCCAACAATAATTCATCACTCTCTTACTAGACATCAAGTACTACCTATCCTGAAAAAATCGGGGTGTCGTCTCTTCTCGTTCACGAGAAAAATGAAATGTACGTTTTTCACGCGCCTTCCTCATGCACTGACTCCTATAGCCTAGAATTTGCTTTCGATAGATCAACGACAATATCGTCTCTCCGACTCTTGTTGCTTTACTGACAAAAAATTTAGTTCAACTTATAAGTCATCTCACGTGTGTGATAATTTCCTGTTCAAGAAACGTTCCTCAATTGATACTCATCAGTAAACCATTTTCCTTAGTCCCGTGACAGATTACAGAGCTTCTGGTCGTTCATAACTGATCATTCCAGGTTCTAGATCATCGTGGTCTGATGGTCTAGTGATACGATTCTCGCTTTGGGTGCGAGAGGCGAGAGGGATGTGAACAAGCTGTTATCTAAAATTTCTATACAGGAAAATACCTTTCTAATCGTTGTTGGAAAAGTTTATTTGAAAATCGTATCTTTTCTATTATAGATTCAGTGCGGAAGCATATTGTATAAGGGCAGTTTCATACTACAATATACGATGCTTTATTTTTTATTTCTAGTTGTATTATTGGCAAAATACGTGGTTTGCGGTTGTTTTTGAACAAAGGGTACAAAAAGGAAAAGAAGAAATGTACCGCAGAGAATCTATAACAGAAGAGATACGATTTTCAAATAAACTTTTCCAACAACGATTAGAAAGGTATCTTCCTGTATAGAAATTTAGATAATAGCCTCTTCACATGTGACAAGCTGACACCTTTATGAATAGAATAAGACTGAAAAGAAAAGAAAACGGCAAAAAAGGGCCTGACCGGGGATCGAACCCGGGGCCTCTCGCACCCAAAGCGAGAATCATACCACTAGACCATCAGGCCACGGTGGTCTGGAACCTACAACGATCAGTTATGAACGACAAGAAGCTCTTTAATCGTCTCCATCGATCGTTCAGAACACTAAAATATTCACCAGTTTTCATGTACATGTCTGTAGTCTTCGGGCTACTATGATCTGAGATGCTATCAATGAATTGTGTTCATGTTCCCTTAGTTTTTGATTCATATACTTTCGGCTGTGGAGCATATTTTTTTGCTTCATTTTCGAACAAGTGTAGTGAGGCATCTGAGCATTTCGGAAGGTGAGTCCAATGATATATTTTGTTCCTCATCATGTCTAGTATATATCCCGAAGGTTGAGCTCCATCGGTTCAGCTATCCCTGAGAAAATCGGCTGGACACGCCCTTTAAAACGAAATTTTGTGAGCGAGCTGCTCACCCAGCGCCGACATTTAACATTTTTTTAAATGTGATATTCTCCCAGTTGAATGAAAATGAGACATTAACGAGCCGTTAATGGCCAATTAATGGTATGGCGTAAGAATGATCAGTTGATGGCCAATTAATGGCATAAAAATGAGCTAGAAATGATACAATATGAAGCATGATTCCTCTACCCTTGAAGCATAGAGCCATTATGGACCAGTGCGCCATCCTTATTATGCTTCAAGTGTGAAATATGTTGTTTTTTAGGCTGTTTTTATGACATACTTCAAGCATGTAACCTCCGCATTTCAAGTGTATGCCTTTTTGTTACCGAGCTACAAGCATGAGACGAAGGACGCCATCTTTTTCCTTTATTCTATGTTAAAGTCTGTCCTCTAGTTAACTGTTTTTTTTTGTCCACTCTGACTTGCACTAACTGTTCCAGTTATTTAGGTAAACATCAAAGGATTTAAATTCTTGCTTCTCTTTTCTTTACGATCATGACTGACATTTATAGTGGAACGAAAAACCTATTTATCATGGGCAGAATTGATAATGACATCGCATAATTTTATTCTGAAGTGTTTAAATGTGAATTTGTTGATTTTTCACTGATTCCTGCGTTGGCGGACTTTTATCTGAAGATTTTTTGTCTACGTCTGGCACGCTGCGAGATGATATCATCCATTTTCAATGATTTATATGCTAATCGATAGCGGATGATGAGCTAGTAAAAATCCTGAAAGGGTTTCAGCAGAGGGTCAAATTCGTATGAAATTCGTGAAAATTTCTTTTCTCAGCAATTACAAGTCTGTTCATCGAAAGCACTTCAGGGTATATACAGCTTGATGCACCCTACAGAGTTATGAAAAAAAACCGAGGGTGATCGTCTTTTTTTCTCATTATTTGATATCTAAATCAAGTGCTGTAATATATTCTCTCCTCTTTCGTACTATCTATAACTATCATAACACGAAGAAACAAAACTCATATAGATTATTCCAGTTTGAACAATAGCTTGATTTCATCAAATCATCACAGTACATTAGTACAAACAAATTCCAAATATTCGTCATCAATCAAGTCTTATAAAGCAACGTCGTAACTTAATACAGAAGCGTGTTTCTGGTGGATGATGTTTTGAAAGAAAAAACCGAGCAATAATAAAAGAAAAATTTCAATTACATCTGGCCGTTTTCAAGGGATACTCAGTAAAATGGTTTTTTCTCAGTGAAAAAAAGAAGTTTCAAAAATCTGGTACCGTGGTATTTCCGAAATTTCGTCCGGGAAAAAAGGTTTTTAGCAGCTCGAGAGGTGATATTCCTACTCAGCGTCAAATTCTTAACGAATTGTTTGCTTTCATTTTTCTATAATAAAAACGCTTTGGCTATTGTGGATACAAAGTTCATTTCAAATCAGTAAAGTAGAGAACATGAGCGAAAATTCAGGTTATCTGCATAACAGAACGTTTTATAAATTCCGCGCTCACTGGTTTCCATTCAGTTGCACCTCTTTTCTGTGGAATAACCAACTCAACGAAAAAACAATACAGCTGACATTGCTCGCACAGTGTGCATCCAAGCGCACATTAGGTGAGCTTGAACTTGTTCTAGATTGAAATAGTGCTTCATATACTTTAAAACATTGTGTATCTGATGGCATAAAAGAATTTGATACTAACCTTAATTAGTGTGAAAAAAAAGCGCGCTTAGACAGAGTCACAGTCTAGGACCAAGAGCATCAGTATGATGAGCGGTATTTCGTTTGGAAAATACTCAAAATAGAACGGACACAAAGCATTATGGAGTGGTACACATAAAAAGTTTTTCAAACGGTCATGTTCTTGAATTTTCATTAGATGAAGACCGTTATTCAGCTAAAGCCGGAACAGATACTCGGTTAGGACGTGGTATTTTAATAATACTAATGCTTGCTCCACGTTTTCGTGGTATGTGTTCATTAATAGCAACGGGCGATTGAGCCCTTTGATCAGTAACATGATCCAAGGCTATTTTTGGTAATGGTGAATCATCGTGTTTATTATTTAATTTTGATGATTTAAGACGTTTTAATTTAACAACACTGACAGACGTTGATTTTCTTCGTTGCAGTGGTGCAGCATGATCTGTAGATGTTAATGCGTCAGTACGACTTTTATCACCGTTATCAGATGGTGATAAAGCTGGTGGTGGTGACGATTTTGAAATGCATGGACCATGGACTTTTGTTACATTGACAACACTACTTGGTTTTGATGAGTTTTCGTCATTCACTGGAACAGTGTCATGTTGTATAGCTGATTTTGGTACATCGATAGTATGGCTACAAGGTGTTATCGATTTTTTTCTTGGTAATTTAACGACGCTAAGGAGCTATTTGACTACTATGTAGTCATTTTCTTGTTTGCTGCTCGACCTTCAGACCCCCTTATATCCTTCGCTCGCTCGACACAATCTCTTAGAGAACATAATAAGCAGAATCTTTAGTGACAACGAATTTGTTCTGAAAAGAGGGTTTCCCATTTCTCTAGATGATGTGTATTTTATCGCTGTTTGCTCATTTTCCTTTTGGGTCAGTGTTCCTATAGTAGAGAAGAGGCCTAGGTAAACCAGAAGCGTCTGCTATTTCACTATCTAACAGCGGACGAGTGGAACAAACTTCCACAGCATGTCATTAGCAATCCTGATCTTGCTAACACTTCTAATGCTATTGTTGTTTCTTTACCAGCTCTTTAAAGCTCGCCTACGCGCTCAACTCTGTTACTAAATGTAAATGTTTATTGTTCTATTGGATGTTCAAAACGGTTCTTCTAACTTAGTTGCTGTTTATTGTACCTTGTCTTTTTTTTTGTGCGTTCATATTCTGAAAGATTTTTGGGAGCAGTATTTACAAGCCGGAGCTTTTTCTGTTTCCCTGCTTCCCTGCTTAGATTTAAGCTAAATAAAAATGAAAATGATGCCAACTCACTCAGGAATCGACTCGAACATTTAAATTGTCAAAACATCTTACTCCTTTCGGATTAGGAAATTTTGTGTACTCTAAATTTTGACTTAAGTAACTAAATTTAAGTAAGAAATATAGCACTGCACCACCTCCAAATTTTGTTAAGTAACTAAGCCGATGGACTACGTTTCTCTTTTATGTTGAGAAATACACTTTTTCTTTAAATCTACCTGTCGATTTCATGACATGGAATTGTTGCGCGAAAATCTAGCAGATTTAAGGAGACCTTTATATGCTGCATGAAGCATCCAAGGAAGGTTCGGTGGAAGGATTTTCTTCGCAGTATCTGTCAGGAGCAAAAATAGCCTGAAAGTAGAATCACTGAAAGGTCGTGAGGATTAGATGATGTACTTGATACACTTCAGCATCGTGCTGCCGTGGATAAACATGAGTTTGCTGTTGATTATTGTCAGCTTTCTAATGACCCGAGTTTACGCAACCAAAGCACTAACAGCTTCGACCTTGACTGATGTTGTATACATGTTGTTTTTTATTTGTTTATAGAGCACTATCTTGTTCGTTGGCATGTTCGATGAGATTTGTGATTCTAATTGGTGGTGGGCGACGTCTATTTGATGACTATCCTTTTTAGGGAAGGATGATCTCTTTTTTTATTTATCTGTTCTGTTGTTTGTTTTACTCAAATCACAAGTTCATAGCTGTCGGTTGCCGGGTGAAGACTGATTCTTTACTATTTAAGTCATTATTTTGAAGCAGCGTTACTAGAAAACTCGAAAAGGGAATGTAAATTGCCTTCGGGAATATGAATATTTTCATTTCATTCAGCCTAACTTTTTCAGTGCAATTCAGATAGCTAGCAAAAAGAGCTCTTCTCTTTTTCTCTTGGTGAAATTCTTTCTTCTATGTGCTTCACCTTCTTTAAAAAGAGGTTTCTGTAGAAACATATTATTCAAATTTCTGTCTTAAAATCTTTGTGAGAAACATATTTGTAAATATTCTTGGACAATCTAATAGAAATCGATCAGACCAACCCTCTGAACTATGACGCAACTGTAGCCCAATCTCATGTACATATCATATCAGTCAAGTAATCAGTTTCGAAGTCGTGCCTATTATGTAATATCTGAATACCCGCTAACTCGTCTATTTTGAACGCTGCTCGTTGGTTGTACATCAGGAAGGTCAATATTAGATATGTTGTTTTGATCGTTTTCAACAGGTGGTTTGATCTTTTCATTGCCTGTTGCACCAGAAGCTTGCTGATCAGTTTTATGTATTCGGGCTACACTGATACGATTTAGTGCTCGAACTGCTGCTGATTTTAATTTAGGATCATATAATACCCCAACATCAAGCTTTAAATCAGATGAATTACTTAATGTTCTTGCCCTTGTTGTTTCACTAACATCATATGTACTTGCCTTACCACTATCCGATGCATTATATACCATGTAGTTTTGAACTGGTTTTAGTAGGATCGATAGTCGTCGTTTTCTTGATCTTGATTCTGTTTTTCGTCGATCTGCTACCATAGCAGCTGTAGATGATAAATTACGACTACTATTACGGGACTTAACAGCTGATGCTCTATCTACTAAAACGTATCTTCGTCTTTTTTTTTCTTCTTCACGTTGACGACGTCGTCGACAAGCTCCATCACCGCTAAATTTATTACTTACACAGCTGCTCGATAGCACCCACGAGAAAAATCTTAGCACTTACCATAGCCACCAATAACAACAACACAATAATAGTGCTAAAAGCGGAAGTAAAGCCAAGAAACATAGTCCAATAATCAATGATAAATTTATGTTGTTTGTATTTACTAAACAACAAAGAAAATAGGTTTTAGGACACGACATACTCCCCGACGACCTACGTTTATCTGTAGTTGTTGTTAAAGTAGCTGTTGTTGTGGTTACTGTAGTTGTTGTGGTAGCAGTTGTAGTAGTTGACGTTATTGAGGTGCTGACTGTAGTGCTTCAGAACAATAAAAACAAAATTTTGTTATTGTTATGCGTAGATTACGCAAAAACTGGTATTGTACTCACGTTGTTGTTGTAGTTGTCGTTGTTGTCGCACTGTAAAAGAAAAGAATATTCAACAAAAGATCTAGTCTTTCCTCAAGAACTACGCAGTTCCATATCTTTATTTTATTCGTCAGAAATCCATAAGACCTAGACGGCACCGTCAGAACTTGTAACTGACAAATACGGTCAGACGTTGTGCAGCGAACCAAGCGATGATCAGGCTCAAGAATAGAAAAACCTGTCTCCATCGAAGATGTAAAATGAACGAGAAGAGCGTGAACAAAAACAGAAAAACAAAGACGCAGAGACATAAACAATGAAAAGTGTGATAGCGTGTGAACGAATAGGATGAAAAGTAAGAAAAGTGTGGCTGAAGCTGAAGTCAGGTGCTGTAGAGTCTGTATCTAACATACGTTTCCTCTAAATCAAAATGTTTGGAGTGGGACCGTTATTCGTAGATAACAGCGGTCATGGCTCAGATGGAACAATTATAACTTCCAACTATCCTTCCGAAAACAATCGTATTGCCAGATGACACTATCATTTTTAACCCAAGTTCACCAAATTTCATCTGAATCGCAATCTGAAAAGTAACTCGTCCAGATTTCCACGTCCTTAGTACTACTGGTAACTTCAACTAACTCGAAGACTGTTTCTTACATGCTACAGTCATTAGAGTCTCTGTATTGGCTGTATTTAACGGCAAAAGCTACGGAGGTACATGGCAACTATCATAAGCAAAAAATAACAACATAAAAGAAACTTACGTGGTAGTGCTCGTGCTACTAGTACTTGTTGTGGTAGTCGTGTCTGTTGTTCTAAAAAAAAATGAGACAGTGGAAGGAAGAAGGGCTCGATTTCGTTCTATCAATATGATTCTCTTTCAAAAAGAAACTGATTGCTGTTCTGCTGTTAGATTAGTAACAGAACAAAAGAAAAGCACGATGCACAAATATAGAACTTCACTTACGTTGTTGTACTACTGGTACTGGTTGTACTTGTACTAGTATCAGTCCTAAAAAATGATCAAATATAGTTCGATCACATAAATCTTGTTATTGTCGAAATCGCTTCAGAACTCTAATTAGCTTCAAGTGTGGCATCCAAAAATAATCACTGTATTGCAACATCAAATGGTACTTACGACGTGCTAGTGGTAGTTGTGGTAGTTATCGTCGATGTAGTTGTGATAGTTGTTGTCGATGTAGTGGTGGTGTCCGTTGTTGTTGTCCTATGGATTCAAAAGTAATCGACCATTGAAAAAGAGTCGTGAACAAGAAATGATTTTGTAACTGAAGCTGAAATTTCTATGTGTGAGTACTAACGAAAGGTGACCAATAAACGGAGAATAACCTGAAGATATACCAAATAAATTAGAGCGCAGTCCAGTAACTAATGGTGAGCTTTGAAAAGACTGAATTTTCGCCCGTCTTTTTATCATTTTTAGTTTTCAACAGGATGGCTTTTTTGTGAAAGGCTAGAGTAACACTTTTTCTCAGTTTTAATTTAAAATAAAAAACATCGGTTAACCGAATTCACGTTTCTCACGTTGTTGTTGTAGCTGTCGTTGTTGTCGCACTATAAAAGAAAAGAATGTTCAACAATACATCTAGTTCTTTTCTTAAGAGCTCCCAAGCAAAAAAATGCCTTTGAGATTATCTAGCTATAAAAATATGTTATCGGGTAATATCGGCTTGTGATAGCTAGCTATCCGTACCACTTTTATTGAGTTAGCTAGCTATATCGAGTATGATAGCTAGCGACTAGATATCGTACCCGATATATCGGGTTGACGAAAAACACTGATCAGAG